TAAAAGTGAGTAGTAACACGAGTATCAACTGCAGCTTTAAATCCAGACTGAAGACATATTCTTATCAAACATTCAAGCTTAATATTCTAAAAACCAGAAGGCTCTATTATATTTTTTTATTTTTTTATTTTACTTCATTAAGACATATTCCTTTGGTTGGTTTTAATTTGTTTAAGTTTTTATTTCTCTATTGTTTTTAATTTCTCTTTAAAGCACAATGAATCAACCTTTTGCATATGGAACGTTTTTTTTTTTTTTGAATGAAGCTGCCTTGCTTTGCCTTCACTATGACAAGAACCGGTCTTAACTTGTAAAGTTTTCCCTTTTTTGCTTTCAGCTACGAGTTTGATGTAACAAAATGCATGTTCTCAGCTGGAAACATAACAGAGAAGCTCCGAGTAGCAGCATTTGACTGCAGAGGGCAGACTGTGGTGGATTTGTATGCAGGTGGGATAACTATCATTCTGTAACAGATTTTTACACTCTGTAGGGGTTCAGAGAGAAAGATGGTGGATTAGATATCATCTGAGGTTAGTCTTTGAGGCCTGAATGAGGTGTAATCCCTTCTCTGAAACTGACCCATTGTGTTTATTTGTATTGTTTTACACACACTTTCTCTCTTTAGATGTAATGAATGGTTACCTGCCTTGTGTTAGGTATTGGATACTTCACCCTTCCATATCTGGTACACGCGGGGGCCCATCACGTTCACGCCTGTGAGTGGAACCCTGACGCAGTTGAAGCTTTAAAGAAAAACCTTGTGTCAAACAGGGTGTCTGACCGCTGCACTGTTCACCAAGGAGACAACAGACAAGTAATATTTGATGTGCATACCATCACACCTGTGGGACATGTATTGTTTTGCATTTTCACATACTACTATCCACAAAGTTCAGGACATTAGAGGCATCTTATTGTTCTCCATCACCTCATTTAAAACAGCACGATCTTCTTTGTTTTAAGATATCATCGTGCAACCTCTTTTTCTGTATCGCTGTTCCCGATGATCTAATATTTCACGGGTAAAATCATTGTAAGTCATTTGCCTTACTCACAAAACTTCCCCCCAAAAAATCTACGCTCAAAGTGTGGTCTCTGAAGAATGCCTTATTTAAGCTGTAAAAAGGATTACGAAAGTGTCAAAAAGATTTACAAAAAAATGTAGATGGCAATCTAAAATAGCTTGTTTTATTTTATTTTTCAGCTCCAGCTAAGTGACGTCGCTGACAGAGTGAATCTGGGTCTCATACCGAGCTCTGAGGACGGCTGGCCTGTCGCCTGCAGGCTGCTGAAGAAATCCACTGGTGGTATTTTGCACATTCACCAGAACGTCACCTCACCATTCTCGAACACAGCAAACTTTCCGGCAACTGATGACGCCACCACCCTGAGGATATCTGGAAGGACAAGTGACAGAGAGATTTGGCAGGCTTGGGCCGATGACACGGCAAACCGCATCCGCTGTCATTTAAAGGACATCAGTGGTACAACATGGATAACAAACATCCAGCACATCGAACACGTGAAGTCGTACGCACCTCATGTTAACCATGTAGTGCTGGACTTGGAATGCAGACCAGCTTAAGCTGTGACAGATCCTGAGTGGCATTAAATCGGAGACATTTTAAACTGTGTACAGAAGCTGAACAGTACACCAGCTAGTTTGTGTGATTATTTCATCTGTCAGATACCACAATGTTTTCATACACCTTTGTTTGTCATGGGCAGGTTCTCCAAGCTAAGATGCAGCCTGCCTCACTCCCCATGCTGTTATAATCCCATCGAGAACGTGCAATGCTTTACCACAACCACAGTCTTGTTTGTCACTGGACCGCTGCTCTGGAAAAGGAGCTCCTTAAGCGTCATGCTCAAGGGGCGCCGTAATGTTTTGACACTTTATCTCAACCCATTGTTAGATCACTAGACCCTCTTTGCAGGAAAAAAACTAAGCTGAACACTGAAAACTACCAGAGCATGAGTTAATCTATACGATTCTTAGGTTTGGTATTGTTGGTACTCAACAAGCAAGTTGTATTAAATTGATATGTAAATACATTACATCTTTTGGAGCTTGAATCTAGTGCAGGCATTAAAAAAAAAAAAAAAGCATTTCATATTTAAAACAACTCTCTGGGGACATAAGTCCAGTATCTGTTTCTGTCATAATTGAGAAAGGTGTGAAGTTAAGGGCAGAGTCTGAGTCAAAGAGTTGAGGAACAGAATGCAGATTCTTCCATACATGGAGGCTCACTGAATGTTTTCATGCATATGGAAGTGGTGTGAATCATATGATGTGGTCTTGACAGTCATCAGGTCTGAACACACAAAAACATCTGTGGCATAACTACGGACCCAAATAAGGGAGTATCTTCTGCATGAATGATGTTAATCCATCCAGTAGAAAGCCATCCCCAGGAGGATCACTGAAGCTGTTATGGCAGATCACAGTTGTTGTTTTTCCTCACCCATTTCCAATCTGCTGTAGAGTTAGCTATATGGCTACATTTTCATAGAGTGATGGCCAACATTAGTTTCCTCTTGTGTAGAAATCATCAACTCAGTCTTTAAGCCAGTAAGCTTGAGTGTAACTTGGAGGTGCGAGGGTTTAGTCAGGTCAGATTCACATGTTTTTAATATACCGTAGACTAATTAATTAATTGGATGATGCAATGGAAGACTTCATGAGAAATTCCCGTTTGGAAGTAAGAATTCATCACACTGATTTCATTGATACCAGAGATTTAGTAAAAGTCTCTCAGACTGTCAAGCTTTTATAATGAGGTTTTATAGGTCTAGTGACATTTTCATTTACAAGGTTTTTTTTTTTCTACCATTAGGCCACTTCGCTCAAGCTCTGACATGAATAAAGGCGTGTAAACTCTTTATGGATTGCCATTTTCTTCTGAGTAGCTTTACAAAGCTTATCTACTGTACGAAGGAAAATGCAATTTGCAACAATTGCTGTCGACAATTAAAAACGGTAAGAGCCCTAAACTTCCTCTCAAGTGCTACGTATAAAATAAGTAAGGCTATTTTGTTGCTGTTTGCTTTAGGAGAACAGAGCTAATTATTAGACTGTTTCAATGGGTTAAATTTTTCCACAACCAGCCCTCTTTGGTAAATAGAGCTGAGGAAATGCACCTGTCATGGAAAAAGTGGAGACTCGCTCACTGCCTGCGATGTCTGCTGCAAACTTTCCCAATCTTCCGGTAGTCGGGACTCCTCCAGTTCACTAAGTCAATAAGTTTGGAGACGGGAGACTAGAAGAAGTTGGAGGGTAGGGTTATGATTGTAGCTGATAAAGAAAGTGAGTAAACCTGTTTTGTTTTTTGTTTTTGTTTTTTTAAACACGGAAATTTCAGCTGGCAATCTCGAAATGCAAAACTGGCTTGCGTGCTGCTTTTAACAACGTTAAGGGAGTTTTCTGGGTGGGTTTTCTGCCAGGATCTCGACGCTTGTTGCCCCGCACGACACGAGCCGTGGAGCAGGGTGAGGTCGACTTTTAACAACAGGTGCATTCAATTGTCTTTTTTTAATGAGCGAGATTTTTGTATTGTTGTCACACGGATTTTTTTTAGTCTCTTCAAAATCTTCCGGCTTCACCATTCCAGCTAGTCAAACCAAGAGTCTTAAAACACATCGAGTCAATTTTATGCCTGCTATCGCACAAGTACTTTTTTTTTGTTGTTGTTAAGGATAATCCCATGGATGCTATACAGAAACTTGAACAATGCTTATTCTGTCAAACTCTGTGTTGTGCTTAAAAAAAAGATTGCCCCTGCTAAGTACTGCAGTATCTCTGTCATCTGTTTCAGACGGATGCGCCATTTCCTTGAGGGTTAAGTATTAGCCAGACAAGTTGTCTTCAGTTGCAGGTATTATTAAACTCTTAGTAGTTATAGCTGCCCTCAGGCATTCAAACAATGAGGAATAAAGGGCCTTGGTTTTTGCAGGCAGTGTAGAATTTCAGTTTCCCCCACCTGTTAGTTCCTTAGGAGGCACAATTCCCTTAACTACAACTTCCTTTTGATGTAATTCAAATGAAGCATGAAGTTTTAGGTGGGAACCTTGACAGATGACAAGCTTGATGTAAAGCTTAAGTAAATGGTTAAGCTGCTGAACTCCACCCGGTTCTCTGTATCCTTAGAGGGTGGGAACCTGCGTGATAGCCAAGTTCATTTTGTTGTTTTTGTTGCCTGTCCTTTTCAAAACAAGCATTCACCCTGGCAGAGGCTTTCTGTGGGATTTTAAAATCCTCCAGCATCCTGGTCCCTATGAGTCATTTATCATTTAGGGAATGCAAAAGAGACGAGGTCTAATTCCTCTTCTCAGGTCACAGAAAACATGTCTAAAGCTCAATCTCTGTTTGCTTTGTGACTGTGTAGATTCCCCTGGGATATATTTTTTTGACTGATGGACTTGGGAGAAGGAGGCTGCTAGTCTTATCATTATAAACCATCCAGTCATCAAGTTGCTACACTGTGGCTTCACTGCAAGGAGGACAACAGGGGAGAATGAGGATACATGAGGATACACTGCTGTTTCTGCCGTTCTTTATTTTCATCACTCCATGGCATTGAGTGACGAAGTTCCTCTTTTTGCTTCAGAGTTCTGCTTTGGTTGCTGCTGGGAGAGAATAGAAAAACAAACATTTTGAAGTGAAGTAAAAATAAAAGTGCTGCTCATCTCTGTAAGCTTTCTAGATTTTGAGTCATTTTGTATTTTAATTAGTTTAGATTCAAGGTTTTTTTGTTGTTGCAGGAAACAAGAGTTTTTACCCTTTCCAGAAATCTTGTATGTTCTGTTTTGCTTTCAGGAGAGTTTCTTTATGCAACAACTACTGAGCTGAGCCAGTAAACCTGCGCTGAAAATTATTGGGTAAAGGAATAATGCCCCAGCCCACAGACATGATCAATGTTGGATTCCTGTCCGAGTCAGAGCAGGAGCTCATCCTGGAGGTGTTGCGACGGGATGAGGAACTGAGGCAGGCTGAGGAGCAGCGTGTGCGGTGAGTATGTAATATTAGACCTGTTGACTTTATTTTAACACATTGTCAAGATAGCAAAAGATGTAAGGTATTGCCAAGGTGTTCATTTCCAGATGAGGAGTCAAAGTCATGAGATTGTGATTTTTATTCCATGATTTATCTGAATACTTTTAATCTGATTTTGTTTTTAACCTCTAATCTCAAAACATTCCATTAGTAACCACATCGTTAGGTACATTTTGCAGAAACAACCACATAGACTGAATCGAATAGATTTCAACGGTCTTCTTGAGTTGGCGTCATAACTGAAAAATGTTTTTTGACCATGACTGATCAACTTAAAGGCTGATCACAACACAATTTCACAAAAATGTCTCATAAAATAAAATTATGAAGTCATGACATTTTAACCAAAAGGTCAGCGTCGACTTCCCTGTGACATCATAATGTCCTGGAAAATCGATGCCTCAGTGACGGATTAGTGGATAATCTACCCCTTGTACCCCCTCACATACCTCTTAGTTTGGCTGTAGAGAGGGGGGGGGGGTCTACTGACAGTCACACGCTCTGTAGAAAAACAGTGAGGGAGAGGGATGTTCTCTCTGCTTTTGAGTGTAGGACTACTTAAGCTGTTGATTTGTTTTGGGGTAATGTTTTCTTTCAAATATTCAATGACATGTCTAAACTTTAATCTCATTTGTCTATTATGTTGTCAGAGAAAATGTCCTGCATTGCTGTTTTGTCAACACTAAGAATTGCAGATGTTTGGGGAATTGAGCTAAATTAGAAAAAAAGACAAAAAATAAAGTCGTGGGGGAAAAAAATCCAATTTGGTTTTAGTACTTATACCGTGGGTATTAACACAAGTATTAACCTTCAAAATGATACTCAACGCTTGTTTCTGTCAGCATGGACAAATTGAAAAGGTCTGGTTATACGCACAACATGTCGGTGTCGGACAATTCAATAAACAGCAGACAAGGAAAATTCACAGATACTCGCTCCAATGCAACACATTTTTTAATACAGTTTTTTTATTGAATCAGTGTTTCGAATTTGGAAAACGAGGGCCACACTTTAAAAAAAATGTTTTTTATTATATTCAAACAAACAATAAAGTTAATAAAAAAACAAACAAATATAAAATCTCAAATGTGGAATGAAAAGTAGCATAAATAAGACTAATCTTATCATATCTGCCCCTCTTTCACAAAGCATTAATTAAAAAAAAACACTTAATTCAAAAACAATTCAAAATAAAATAAATTGGCTGCAGGCAAACATAGCCACTGTCAGCCCCATCGTAGGTCCTTGTTAACAATTCATTTTAAACCATACAAAGCATATCACAAATACATTTGTGTCACAGCATCACGAAACAGAACAATACATCTCACATCCATTTATATCGATATGTAGATTTCTACACCAATAGGCTGATAGGAACTATGATGGCGGGCGTGGTACTATGAGGGCAAAAAAACAAAACAACTATGAATTGATCGCTTGTTCTAGGAAAATGTAAAAAAATATTCTGAATGTTATCAAGGGTGCTACAGGGAAATTAGATAAAAAAAAAATAATCAATCACAAGAGTTAGGGATTGAAACCAGAGAGAGAAAAAACAACTGAAGGTTAAAATGTTAAACATCTTGTAGGGGTGAGACAACTGAAAGGTTTCTTAAGGGATTATTTTCCACTTTTTATCAGTGTATTTTTTGTGTTTTGCTCTTTCTCAGGAAGTTGAAGGCAGAGCTGCTTGATATAAAGAGGAGGGGAGCCAAACGTGGCAGTGGAAGATACAGTCAGCACAGTTGTGGCAGATGCCAGACACCTTTGAGTCGACTGTCGATTTCCTCCAGCCAGTGTAAGATGTGCAACCACAAAGTGTGCAGCAGCTGCCGAATAGTCTTCCCGGACGGATCCTGGCTGTGCAGTGTGTGTGCCAAAGAGTCGTAAGAACCGTTTTTGTTCATTCTCTTCTTTCACTTCCATAATAATCATATTTTAGCAAATGTCTGCATCAAAACATTTTGACTGCTAGGATGATATAAATTTGAATTTAAACAAATACAATGAAAGGCTCTTAATCTATCCATGGCTTTTTGATTAGGTCTGCACGATGTGATGGAAAATATGCAATGTCCAGTAACACTGTTCAATATGCAATGATTGTAATTATATTTACTTACCTCTTCTTACTCAGCCATCACACAATCTCACCCCATGAGCAGTAATACGACCAGTTTAGATACATTTCCCATTAATGACCAAAAAAGGGGAAAATAACAACTGTTAAATATTAAAATAACATGGTTTGTCCCGCATAAAGGTAGAGTCAGAAGAAACGTTTGTTGCAGCTTGTAAACACATTTAAACTGCGTCCCTCCTCCTGGGCTCATTGCCACTACAAGCTGACGCCCACTGCAGGGTTAGCGTCTACATTTACTGCCTGTACCTTCACTTTAAGCTACTTAAAAAAATATTACGTTTGTTGTAATGGAAAAGCCGATAATTTAGCTAGCACCCAAGTTAACCACCTGCCTGTCCAACAGAAAGAATTGGTTTCTGATGCACGTCACTTTGGACAAAAGCGTCTGCTTAATTAATCGTAGAAGACAAGTAAGTAACTAATTAAAGGAAGAATATGTGATTTTTCACACTTAAATTTAGCAGAAATCAAATATATCCTCTGAAAATAACTCTGAGTGATGACTGTCTACAGTGATGTGACACCCGAGTCCCACTGTCTGTGATGCTTTCGGAGCCGTAGCTAAACTTTGTTTACATGGACGGGACAGCCTGCTGACTCCTCCCCTCACGAATAAAAGTTGTTTAATTGAGGGACTAGAGAAAAGAAGAATAACATACTGTACTCACTGCTTAACTGTGTTTC